AACAAAAACACATTGCAATGGTTGGTTACATCTGTAAGATACTTATGATCCAATAATTGATTATTTCCGTTTCTTTAATACAATGCAGTTTTCTAGGTAATGAGAGGAAATATTGTTTTAATACGAAAAAGTCCACTTGAAAACGCATCTGTGTTTCAGTTGCATTGAATAATTGATTATTGGAAATGTATTTAACTGGACTTCTTATACTGATATTACATTTTTCTAATAAAACTTTATTACAAAGTAAGTTAAATTACACAATTTGATAAATTGCAGCTATATCAAACATTTTTATTGCTTAATACTTACGATCTATTCAAAAATATGCCTCAAAGAAAAGAGGGTGTAATAAAGAGTTGTAATTGATATACATAATAAATTTATACTCGTATCAACGTTTTGTGAATAATTTTTAGAATTCAAATCTGTATTTGAAGGTATAGTATCGTCTGTTTGTTCGTTTATTTTAGAGCAACGTTACAAGGGGTTATCTGTTGTGCCCCCACGGGGAATCGAACCCCGAATTTTAGCGTTGTAAGTCTTTTAGACTCACAGCTGTCCCACCGGGGTACAAGAGTATCGTCATAGATAAAAAATTACCTGCCGCCTGTTCACTTACTTTATGAGCTCCTCTCGTCAACGACACTCAAAATGTATAAAACATTTCTTAAATTATCATCTTAGATTTTTTTGTCATTTTGTAAAATACATAAAAAATGTAATATAGCTATTTTTGGTTAAAAATTACCTGAAAATTACAGGAACAAACGTGATTCAATACAATCTTAAGAGGTACAATACTACAATTATTTTAAGTTAAAAAGAAGGTGGGAATACGAATTTAACTATATATAGTTAATTGATATAATAAAAATCTCACGTTCTTCAAACATTCTGTCATTATCATCATCATCACTTCGTGTCATTTCATTCCAGTCCAAGGGGGGGGGGACTGACGTTCTGTCGATTTGTTATTTATAATTAGTCAAAACAATTTGACAAAAATGCATGGGGTGCAGTGTTACTAAGTGAGAATACTTAAACTATATTTGTAAAGTTCTTCAGTGTACACAAAAAAATATTTAAAAACTTTTTAAAAAATCTCAATTAGTTCTTTATTTGTAATAATAGTATAGATTTCATTTCTGAAACATTTTTTATATAGTTAGTAATTTATGTTACGTTTCATAGTCTTAAATACGAAACTAACTGTACAATTAAAAAATTTACAGATGTTTCATAGATTTTTTTAAAGCGTGTTCTTAAATCGCTAGGTTTTTTTAGTCATTCAGTTGCTTCTCTTAATAAACATTCCTTTAAAGCCTGCGGAGTTGAGATTTGTTTGGTCTGGAAACAAAACTAGTTGCCATGGGAGCAGAATGTTGCGTGGCCATATTTGACTAGATTGGTACTACTTATCGACTCATGAAAGTGTACCTAGCTAGTACCTCCACAGACAAATCTGAACTCATCGTCGCTACATATAATTACCTGCTATGTTACTATAGCAACCATTATTCTTATACTATTGGATAATAAAATTTCATTAAAAATTGTTTAAAAAGACATACACTTATTTCACAATAACCCTGAGCAAATAAGCTTTAATGCAAATAAGAAATGTGCCAAAAATGCTTTAAAATCAAAATGAGATTAATACACAAATTTAATTACAAAAATATTTTCGAGGTAAATAAATATGTAAATCAACATTATTATATATTGTTATGTTATTATTGAATTGCTACCAACTCATCAGATTTGTTGAATAATTACAAATAATAAAACTAATACACCATTTAAGCGATGATTATTTATTATCGGAAAAACAAAGATAGTTTGGCACATGTTTAGACAACATTTGTTCGGCTATCATCAGTCAGAATATCTCGTCATTTCATTCTGCCTGATGAGGGCCGAACAAATGTGGATGAAACACGTACCAAAATATCTTTATTATCGCAATAATAAATAATTGTGGGTTAAATGGTATAGTACTTTCATTAATTAAATACCATAAGATATATGAGTAGAAATACTATAATTAGAAGATTTAAGATTAATTTTGTTTTGTGATTGAGTAATATCAGTAGATGCGCTTACCGTAAAACCTTGGAGCAGCAACGTAAGATCAACAGAAGTTTAAACGTTTGCTACGATTATCATGAAATTTAAATCCATTTTCTGCATTCATGCACAGACAAGCATTATTTGGATGGTTTTATTGGCTAAATTGGCCATAAACAACTTAAGGAGTTCCTACAGGGCCTGTAGTACTCTCAAAGCCCTCCAGTGGCTCAGCGGCAAGTCTGAAGGCTTATTATTGTAAAAACCGGGTTTTCATGCCGGTGGTGGGTACAGCACGGATAGTCCATTGTATGGCTTTGCGCTTAACAACAAACAATAAAACAAACAAGGCACTCTCATCATTTGTCTCAGTATAACCCATGAGTAACATGAGATGGAAATTTTAATATATGGGAAG